ACACAATTCAAGCAGGAAAGGGCTTTTATCTTTAAAAAAAAGATTAAAATCAATCAAATATTTCATTGTTGAGCAATAGCTCTTTGAAAATATTGATAATTCTTGATAGCAATGCCATGCAATTGTCCATAGCTTATGCTCAAATTTAGCTCAAATTTAGCTCTAAATTATCAGCAAAAAGCCCAGTCGAGTTAACTTGCTCTTGAATCTGTTTACGAGGTTCCCACTAGATTCTGGCTTCTGTAAGTCAAGCCAAATCTAGGACTGGCTTCTGGCAGACTTCTGGCAGACTGGCAGGCAGGTTATTGTAATTACCAGCAAAATACGATACGAATAACGGATTACATTTGAGTGTTGGACTTCCAGTGATTAAAAGAACTAGGCGCCGAGGAGTAGTGCGCACGGACAGACACAGCTCTTTTATATCGATTTTAGGTTTTAGGACCAGGGCCAAGCCGGCTTCTAGACTTCTAAAATCGTGTTAAATTCATCCTGCTATTAGGAAATGGAATTTAGGTGGTAGCCGACGCTAATCTATATAAAATGGCATTCTATATAAGGGAAAATAAAAGGGAAAATAAAAGGGGAAATATAAGGAAAGATATAAGAGTAAATTTTTTAATCCCTTCCATTCCGATTGAGCTTTTAAAACCAAAAAAATCGAAACCTAAAGTGAAAAATATCAAATTTCTACCAAATTCATTCTAGATTAAGGTTTATTTTTAAAAAAATTCAATTAAAAACCTATTAAAAACCTCGGACAGGCACCACAGTGACTCCCTGAAATTTTGATTTAGAGCTAAAGCTAGAGCTAGAGCTAGAGCTAGAGCTAGAGCTAGAGCTAGAGCTAGAGCTAGAGCTAGAGCTAGAGCTAGAGCTAGAGCTAGAGCTAGAGCTAGAGCTAGAGCTAGAGCTAGAGCTAGAGCTAGAGCTAGAGCTAGAGCTAGAGCTAGAGCTAGAGATTCGCTAGAGACCGAACCAGGTTGTGGCATTGGATGACCAGACATTACAGGATGTCCTGGCCTCCCTCTGTGATGAACTGAAGCTAAGATTAGTGTCTAGGAGTAAAGTTTCTTTAAAAAGAGTTCTCAAATCTTTATTTATTAAAAGATTCTTTAAGAAATCTTTAAGATTTCTTCAAAAAAATCAAAAATCTTTCAGAAAATGGCTGTTTTTTATAGAAAAATCTCGAAATTAAACGAAAAATTCGAATTTCATTCGGTTCATTTAGCGAAAACTAAGAAAAAAAAGATTTAATAAAGCAAATAGAGCATAAAGATTTTGTTTAATTAGAAAAAGAAAGGAAGAAATTAGCAAAAGAAAAAGAAAAAAACACACTTAATCCGAGGAAACAAATTTTTCGAACAAATCAAAAAAAAAAAAAAAAAAAGAAAATGAGAAAATTTTTAATTAGGGATAAGTAATCCGACATTTGCAAATGAGAAAAAATACTGAATGGCTGTGCAATTACAGTAATCCGGTGGCGTAGAAAAGAGATGAGATTCTGGACAAGATTCTCGACAAGACTTCAAAAATCAGCGAAAAATTGAGGCTTCTTCTTGTTTTCTTCTTTGAAATTTGCAAATTTTGATTTGATTTTGTCAAATTTTCGTTTAAAAATGAGAAAAATGAAATGAAAATTGGGAAAATGACCGCTTTGAGGCTTGTCTAGTGTGTAGAGGGTATAAAATCGAGCTACAGTAATCGAGTGAAGTGAAGTAAAGCTTTAAAATAGTCCAGTAATCTAGTTACTATTCGATTTTAACAGATTTAAATGTCAGTTTAAGTAAAATTACAGTTTTAAGGCTTGTCTAGTGTGTAGAGGGTATAAAATCGGGCTACAGTAATCGAGTGAAGTGAAGTGAAGCTTTAAAATAGTCCAGTAATCTAGTTACTATTCGATTTTAACAGATTTAAATGTCAGTTTAAGCAAAAATGACCCTTTTGAGGCTTGTCTAGTGGGTAGAGGGTACAAAATCGAGTGAAGCTTAAAGAGTAGTCCAGTACGCTAGCTATTATTCAATTTCAAAAGGAAATTCATTTAGAATAGACAGATTTTGACCGAATTTTGACTAAATTTTGAATGAATTTTGAAGATCTTTATTAAGAATTCTTGAAAATTACTTTATTAACTAGGTTTTTAAATTATCGTGGCTTTTTTGACTCGGGAAATACCCTATTTGATGCAGTTTTTCACGCTGATTCCGAATCTGCAATCAGCTTTTGTCAAACACTTCTCTATCGCGAAATTTATGGCATACAAGTTTTTGAGATCTCTTTATAAGGGCGACGCACTGTCTTCAGTCAACGGCCTCGCTGGTGTAGTGGTTAGTGCGCGCATTTGCCAGGCGTATGCCCTTTTAGACCCCGAGGGTTAGTATTACTAGATTACTGGACTATTTGAAAGCTTTACTTCACTTCACTCGATTCCTGTAACCCGATTTTCTACCCTCTACACTCTGGACAAGCCTTAAAACTGTCATTTTGCTTAAACTGACATTTAAATCTGTTAAAATCGAATAGTAACTAGATTACTGGACTATTTTAAAGCTTTACTTCACTTCACTCGATTCCTGTAACCCGATTTTCTACCCTCTACCCACTAGACAATTTCCCCGAATTCATCTAAACATTTCGACCAAATTAAATCCGAATTCCAGTTGACAGATTGAAGAAAATGAATGCCTCCAATCGATTCACCGTCCCCGAAAACCCCTGCATACAAATTTAAGCCTAAATTTCTTCTTTTTAGACAATCGAAAAGCAGGGTTTTTCAGCCACTTTCCGGGCTTTTTCTCAGCCATCTTTAAGCCAAAAATACTGCGATTTCAGATTCGGAATCAGCGTGAAAAAACTGCATCAAATAGGGTATTTCCCGAGTCAAAAAAGCTACGATAATTTAACAACCTAGTTAATAAGGTAATTTTCAAGAATTCTTAAAATTTAAAGATCTTCAAAATCTGTCTATTCTAAATGAATTTTCTTTTGAAATTGAATTCCCTAGCAAGCTCGCTGTTTTTTTTGCCTACTTTTTGTGCACTATTTGTTGTATAAACACACATTTTCTATCAAAAATCCGTTTTTTTAGCAGAGATTTAGGCTAAATGAAGACTTCCTTGTGCTAGAAAGGGTATGTTTAGGCATTTTCGAGAGCTTAAAGTGCGCGGAGACTGGAAAATCAATCAAAAGTAATTCATTAGTCATTAGTCAGTCAATTCAAAAGCAATTCAAAAGCTAGAAATGATTTTTGCTATTTGTTTTTTTTCAAGCTATTGAATGAATTTCTGAACTTGAATGAAAGGTTTTATCTGAAATCCTCCTGGCTGGAGTCAATTTACCAAAAAGCCTTATTGAAAAGAAGAGATTTTCGGAAAAGGACGAAAAAAAGGACTAAAAAAAGCGCTTGAAAAGCTTTTTTTTCTCAGAATTTTGGGAAAATCGGCAATTTTGAAACAAATTCTAATCAAAACGATTGCAAAAAAAGGCAAAAAATGAAGAAACAGAAGATTTAAAGCTTCAAAGCAAAAAGGGGGGGCTAAAGGCGAGGAAAATTGGAGGAAAATTGAGGAAAATTTGGCAGAAATTCGATGTAAAGAAAAGGACAAACGAGTGAAAAGAAAAAAGAAAAGAAGAGGCTTTGTAAAGGGAAAAGAAGAAAGAGTACTATTTGATTGAGATTTCGGATGGAAAATCCGTGAGGAAAAGGTTTCAACAAGACAAATGAACGTTTTGGGGTGTTTTTTAGAGAAAATTCTTTCAGAAACAAGACGAAAATTGAGAATTTGGTAAAGATGATTTTCTAAAATCAGTTTTATTTCGTAAAGATGAATGGATTCAAGGCTTGCAGAGTGAAGAATGATCTTTTCTTTTCCTTTCAAGGTTGAAAAGAAGGCTTTTAGAGCCAAGAATGATCTTTCCGAGGTTGTAATGAAGGTAAAATTGCGGAAGAACAATTCAAGGATCTTTCTGGATCAATTTTGCTATCAAAAGATGAACAGATTCAAGGCTTACAGGGTGAAGGATGATCTTTCGAGGTTGTAAAGGCTTTCAGTGGGAAGAATGATCTTTCTGAGGTTGTAAAGAAGGCTTTCAGTGGGAAGAATGTTCTTTCTAAGGTTGTAAAAAAAGGCAAAATTCGAGAAGAACAATTCAAGGATCTTTCTAGATCAATTTTGCTATCATGTGCAAAAATAATGAATCAAAATTGGAATAGAAAAGATGGAAATCTGATCAAAATTTGAAAAAAAAAGGGTAATAACAGAATTTTTGAAAGAGACTTCTTGTATGGCATAAATCTCGCGATAGAGAAGCGTTTGACAAAAACTGATTTCAGATTCGGAATCAGCGTGAAAAACTGCATCAGATAGGCTATTTGATTTTCTAAAATCAGCTTTATTTCGTAAAGATGAACAGATTCAAGGCTTGCAGGGGGAAGAATGATCTTTCTAAGGTTGTAAAGAAGGCCAAATTGCAGAAGAACAATCCAAGGATCTCTCTGGATCAAGTTTGCTATCAAAAGAGGAGCGGATTCAAGGCTTACAGGGTGAAAAAGATCTTTCGAGGCTGTAAAGAAGGCTTTCAGAGTGAAGAATGATCTTTCTAAGGTTGTAAAGAGGGCAAAATTGCAGGAGAACAATTCAAGGATCTTTCTCAATCAATTTTGCTATCAATTGCCAAGATAATGAATGAAAATTGGAATAGAAAAGATGGAAATTTCATTGAAAATTTGAAAAAAATAAGGTAACAAATGGATTTTTGAGAGAGACTTCTTTAAAAGGCGAGTTTAATCAGAGGCAACCAGCTGACCGAATAGTGTAGTGGCTAAGCTGCCTGTCTCTTAGTCAAGAGGTCCAGGGTTCAATCCCGCTTCCGGCAATCAGAAAATTTTTCACTCTTTTTTCGATTTAGATCCTATTCTTATGCCTTTTTGTAAATGATTCTCGTGAATTATTGAAGTTTTTCAAAAAAAGAAATGATTTGAGCAATTTCAAAGTACTTACTTTGAGGGAATTCTCATAGAATTCCTCATCAAGGATGACTTTTTTGGGCGGGGCTTTTCGTCGACTTCTCCCCGATGAAGAAGAGATTTGAGTGGTTGTTGATGGGAAAGATGAATGATTCACTGATCCATCCCCATTATTTGAATCACTTTCCGTCGCAGGGACTTTCGTTTCTGAAATCGCAAATTATAGGGGGTATTTTCTAAGAAAAGATCTTTTAATAGTGGTGTTTTTAATCGTAAGCTTAGCTTAATCGTAAGCTTAGCTTAATCGTAAGATTAGCTTAATCGTAAGCTTAGCTTAATCGTAGGCTTAGCTTCGTAGGCTTAGCTTAATCGTAAGCTTAGCTTAATCGTAAGCTTAGCTTAATCGTAAGCTTAGCTTAATCGTAAGCTTAGCACACTTTTAATAGTGGTGTTTTGGGTTCCTCGCGAGTAATTTTTCACTCCTATAATTTCTAGAGTGTTTTCCTTTCGAGTAAATAAACCTGTCTAATGTCTAAATGACTCTGTCTAAAGAATGTGTAAAGGATTCGAAAGATATCCAATCTTACAGCTGAATACCACAGGAATTGGTACTGTAGCTAATACTGTAGCTTGAAGCTTATGATTAAGCTAAGCTTACGATTAAGCTAAGCCTACAATTACGATAAGCTTAGGATTAAGCTAAGCCTACGAAGCTAAGCCTACGAAGCTAAGCCTACGAAGCTATGCTTACGATTAAGCTAAGCTTATGATTAAGCTAAGCTTACGATTAAGCTAATCTTACTATTAAGCGGAGCCTACGATTAAGCTAAGCCTACGAAGCTAAGCCTACGATTAAGCTAAGCTTACAATTAAGCTAAGCTTACTATTAAGCTAAACCTACAATTAAGCTAAGCTCAAGCATAGATACTAGGTTTTTAGCATAAATTAGCCAAAGAAATCCTTAGAATTAGATTAGCTGAATACTTTAGATGCGGATATGAGTAGAGTGGGTTCGTCGCGAGTAAGTAAAAGTAAAGTCTCGAGTAAAATCTGCATGACTAATTTCTACTCGACTAATCGACGTTTTTTAGTCGAGCAACTACGAGTAGTTCTCTTTACACGTCGAGTAAACTGAATATCTTTACATTTGAAGGGGAATTCGCCACCAAATCAGTTAAACAATTGAATATTTTTTTTAAAAAATCGTATATAAGTCGTCGCTTCTAAGTATGCGTTTTAAAAGAAAGGCATTACTCGCGAGGAAGACACTCTAGTTTTTAAAGGTTCTTTTAAAGGTTTTTCTTAAGTTTTTAAAGCTCTACCAGTCATCTTGCGGACGCTTGTGCTGTTCGCGTTGTTTTTGGCCTCTGACTCCTGAAATTCTTGGGTTTAAGGGGGAAATTTGAAAGGCATAAAGTGGATAAAGTTGATCTAAATGTTATCTAGATATCTAGATATTTAAATAATCGAATGTCTTACTTTACTTTGCCCATTTGTACCCGTCACAGAGCCATCCATCCACGCCGCATTTGTGGCGCCCTAGAAAAAAGAAATTTGAAATTTAAATTACGAATTAATTGATAAAAAAGACACAAAATATTATCAAGAATTCGAAAAAAAAGTGGAAAAACAAACGCGAGAAAAACAATAAACAATTGAGACGATGAAAAGTTTGTCTTTTTTTTGAATAAATCATGAATAGAATTGATTGGGAAACGGGGAAATCGAATATTCAAAAGCAAAGCAATCAGAAAGCAATGAGAAAGCAATTTTCAAAGATCAATCAATAACAAATTCATTTGTGCACAAATTTCTGAGCTTAAAACTTTAAAGCAGCTTTTTGGGACAATGAATTAGAGAACTTGCGAATCAAATTCGTACCCGGATTTTCGATTTCCCCTTGTCCAAATTCGAATCTAAACTCAGCGACAACTTTGAGCTGTTCTTTGTTCGCAATGAAATTGCAAACTCATTCCCTCTGATGCACTGGCTTCCCCATTATCATGCACTGTCTTCCCGGTATCATCAAATCATTGATTACGAATGCAATTGTGCGTGCTAGTCAGTATTTCTTGAAAAAACAAAAGAAAAATCCAAAGCCGGGACCGAACTCGTGAGTTCCCGCTCTAGAAACGAGAGCTCTACCACTTGGCCACAGCTGCACCGAAACTGGTCTGCAAGGAGGCCGCTAAGACCCAAAAGACCACATTTTCTTTCGTCCTAAAGCAAGAGAAAAATCCCGAGGGCGGATCGAACCAAGCCTCTGGAAACGAGAGCTCTACCACTTGGCCACGACTGCACCGAAAGCGGTCAGCAAGAAACCCATTAAGACCACAATGAACACATATTCTTAACAGAGTTTTAAAAGCAAAAGAAAAATTCAAAGAAGGGAACGAACTCGTCAGGTATCGCTCGAGAAACGATAGCTCTACCAATCGGCCACGTCTGCAGTGAAATCGTATCGCAAGGAGGGCGTTAAGACTCAACCCCAAAGGTTAACTTGTCACTCGGGCAAGAAAAAATCAAAACGAAAGCGAAAGTGGGGGTCGAACCTGTGAGGTCTGGATTTAGAAACGAGAAATCTACCACACGGCTGCACCGATTCAGATCCGCAAGGAGACTGTTAAGAAGGCCTTTAAGAAGGCCGTTAAGGAGGCCGCAAGGAGCTCAAATGGCCACATTTCCAGAGTCCTAAGCTTTAGACGCTTATAACTCCTGACAGATTATCATTTAGCAAAAACGAAATATATATTCAGAATCAGCATGAAATTCTGCGTCGAATGGTATAAGAAAAACGTTGAGTAGCAAAGAATTTGAGTTATAAAAACCCCTTGATGTGCTAGAAGGGATGCTTTTAATCAATTTAAGCACAAAATACACCAAAAGTAGTAGGAAAAAGCTGGAAGAAAGAAAATCGGTGTGCCAAATGGTTGCATTTACGAGAGAACAAAGTACAAGGGGAAAGGGCATCAAATTTTTGATATTATCAACGATTAAGATTTATTTTAAAGAAAATTTGATTGCAAGATCGATTCGATAACTCATTTGACGGGGAGTCACTCAAGGAAAATGTCTAATTTCTTTTCTTTTTCTCATTTTTTTTTCACGTCGGCACCTATGCAAATCGAGTGCATTTCCTCTATGCAAATAGCGCAGTAAAGCAAATAGAAAAAAAATAGGGAAAGAATTGTGGGACTTGGGTAGAAAGACCAAAAGAATAGAGAAATTGGGGAAAGGAAAAGATCGGGTTGGACTTAAAATGACTTACCATTCAGAAAATGGTAATCATGATCATTTTTTGTCAATTTTAAAGCTAATTTAGTACTTTGCACCTTTAAATTTACATAGTAAAGTAGCCGAATTCATCTTGAAATTCGTTTTCATAGAATGTGTGAATTGCTCTTTCTTTCCCTTGTATTCCCTCTTTCTTCTCTTGCAAGACGATACTGGATAGCTCAGTGGTTAGACAGACGGACAGACGGACGGACAGACGGACGGACAGACAGACGGACGGACAGACGGACGGACAGACAGACGGACGGACAGACGGACGGACAGACAGACAGACAGAATGGTAATCATGATGAGAGCATCCTGGAAAGGAAAAAAGTCGAGGGTTCTATTCCCTCAAAATCTTTCCCATTACTTACTTTATGAATAGATTTTTAAACACAAAGTATTTGGCCAAGTTTGGCTGAAATTTGAATGAGCAGTGAATAACGAAGATCACGAAGATTATAGCGATCATCTACTATATATAAAGGGACTAAGACGTCTGTCTGTCCGTCTGTCTGTCTATCTGTCCGTCTATCTGTCCGTCTGTCCGTCTGTTCGTATGTCTGTCCGTCCGTCTGTCCGTCTGTCTGTCCGTCTGTCTGTCTATCTGTCCGTCTGTCCGTCTGTCTGTCCGTCTGTCTGTCCGTCTGTCCGTCTGTCCGTCTGTCTGTCTATCTGTCCGTCTATCTGTCCGTCTGTCCGTCTGTCCGTCTGTCTGTCTATCTATCCGTCTATCTGTCTGTCCGTCTGTCCGTCCGTCTGTCCGTCTGTCTGTCTGTCCGTCCGTCCACCTGTCTGTCCGTCTGTCTGTCCGTCCGTCTATCTGTCCGTCTGTCCGTCTGTTCGTATGTCTGTCCGTCCGTCTGTCCGTCTGTCTGTCCGTCTGTCTGTCCGTCTGTCCGTCTGTCCGTCCGTCTGTCCGTCTTTCCGTCTGTCTGTCTATCTATCCGTCTATCTGTCTGTCCGTCTGTCCGTCCGTCCACCTGTCTGCCCGTCTGTCTGTCCGTCCGTCTATCTGTCCGTCTGTCCGTCTTTTTGTGCGCGTTACTCCTTAGCCCCCAGAGGACGGTTTGCAATGATTTTTGCACCATTGAATAGGGAATTACATGTAGTTGTACAAGGTGCTTTTGGATTTTTAAAAAAGCACATATCGAGTCGCACGGGGAGGTCGAACCCGGATCGTAGGGCGATAAACCGACGCTTCATCCACTGCTCCACGGCGACGAAAGCCGCTTATTCCAAAACATCCAGAAAAACCCACCGTTAGGCAGGTTTCTCGGCTGGTATTGTATAAAAATAATATTTAAAATGGTATTGTATAGAGATTATATTGTATCTCCTATATATAAAGCAGAAGAGACGTCTGTCCGTCTGTCCGTCATAGGGAAAAAGGGGCAGGGCTTAGATAGGCTTAGATTTGCGTAATATTATTGCTGACTCTTGCTTTAAAGAGATCACTTTGACATTTCTTTGCATCAGCTGAAAAATATAAGAATTTCCTCTGATCTTCGTTTTTTCTCCAATCAAAAAGATGAAATATTCGTTTATGTGTCATCGACAAATGACATCGACACGTTTATATTGCGTAGAGGCTGAGAATTTGCATATCTATTTAATAAAAAGGGTTTATTTTAAAAAGAAAATCGTTTAAATTGATGAAAATCGACTTTTTTGTCAGAAAATCACTTTTTTTGATGTTTTTTTCGATTTTAGTAAAGATTAATAGTATTTTTTGATACTCTTTTCTCTTTTATCTTTTGTTTTAGTGTTTATCTATCTCTTTTTATGTTAAAAAGTGGATAATTAAGTAAACGAGAGTCATTTTTTCTTCAGTTTTCTGTTTTTGAGTTTATTTGTTAAGGAAAGTTGTGAATTTTGTGAATTTTTAGCAATTTTTCAGCAATTTAATGCATTAGAAAGGCTTTTTTGCCTTTTTTTTGCTTTTTTTTAGCTTTTTTTTGCAATAATTCAGAATTTATTTGTTCTTTTTATCAAAAATTTCATCTATTTCATTGAAATTTGAATTTTCTTTTAAGAAAACGAAAGATTCGAAAGGAATTTGGATTTTCTTTTAATAAAACGAAAGATTTCATTGCTTTAGAGGGATTGCTTTTAGAAAATTTTAAGTTCTATACCGAAATCTTTTCATTTTTCATCCTTTAATTATGTCAGAATGTGGGGAATGATTTTTGGGGGAAAAGAAAATCTTATATTTCGGCCAAAAACTTCTGGTCATTCTCATCGGTGACGCTGATGACAAAAACGAGGATTTGCCTGCCTAAAAAAAAGCATATTCTTGAACAAAAGCACATTATTAACCTAGAGGAAAGAGATGATCAACAGGTTTATTTTAGAACAGAGAACAGAATCGTTACGAATTTCTCTATTTAATTTAATGTTGAATTGTTCAAGCATTGGAATTAGCATTGGAATTGGCATTGGAAAATTCAAGCATTGGAATTCTGAGGCCTTAAGGAATCAGGAATGATCTTAAGGAGTCGAGTTTCAAGTCCATTCAATTGTTCAAGTTCAAGTCGAGCAGTAAACGCCTTAAGAAAGCAAACGCCTTGATACTTCTTGAAGCAATGAGGCTATCTTTTAAGCCATCAGCCATCAATTGTAATTGTAGAATTCTTAAACAAAAGCATATTATTAACCTAGAGGAAAGAGATAGAAAAATGTTCAAACATCCGGATTCTGACGCCTTAAAGCAATCGATTCTTAAAGCAAAGCTATCTTTTAAGCTACCAGTCATTGTAATTGTAGAATTCTTAAACAAAAGCATATTATTTGATTTAGAGAAAGAGATGGATAGAGAAAAGTGTCGAAGCATTGGAATTCTGACGTCTTAAGGAATGGCCTTAAGGAATCGCCTTAAGGAATGGCCTTAAGGAATGGCTTTAAAGAATGGCCTTAAGGAATCGCCTTAAGGAATGGCCTTAAGGAATCGCCTTAAGGAATGGCCTTAAGGAATCGCCTTAAGGAATGGCCTTAAGGAATGGCTTTAAGGAATCGCCTTTCAAGTCTATTAATTCATTTGAAATGAGGAAAGCTAAGGTAAAGCTTAAGAAATAACAGTAAAAATCCGTCTTAATCTGCTTCTTTACGATCAAAAATGCTCTTCTTTGTGAGTAGAAAATCGAAAGGAATCCCTTCAAATGAACGAACTTCTAATGAACGAAAGAGTAATGAATTTTGTGTCTTTAGCGTTATCAAATTCGATTTTCTTTTAATAAAACGAA